ATATATAGTTTTGTTCTTCGTTTCATTATGAATATTTCTGTGAAAATTTTATCTCAATATACCTATTTTTGCGAGTTACTAAGTTTTTCATGGATAAGAGAACTTTTCTGTTTAATAATTAAATACCCCGTCGGTTTGGCGGTAGGAAAAGATTTAAATACTATCCATCGCGGAAGGGTTAAAAGAAATGTGTGCTTGGCAGTAGTCACAGTAAGGAATGGAGGCCAACAATATAGTTCTTGCTGCTAGATCTTTGGGGGTTGGGGGCCTCTTTCTGTGCTTTGAAGAGTTCAGGTGTTGGGTCTTCTGCTAATGTGAATAGACAGTCAGAATTTACATGGGCTCTGAGGGAAAGACTATAAGAAGGCTCTTGACAGGGGTGACTAACCTATCAAGAAGAAGAACTGGAATGGATGGTAAAAGAGTGGGCCAAGTGAAGAATCTCTTCTGTAAGGAATTGAGGCTTCGGCCATAAGTTGGTTGTGTGTTCATCTCGGGCCAGTGGTGAGTGGTCAGCTGTCCCTGTCAGTGAATGTTGCTGGAGGGCTACAGATGTCCCACTGTCAGCAGTCCAGGAGATCTTTCTAAGGTACTAGATGGGTAAGTTGTTAGCCATTTCTGCCAAGAGGAGGTAGCCGTTAGCTCTTGAGGGCTTTCATGAGGTGCCTGGGGGGGTTAAACTGAATGAAGTTTCTTGATGAGGGTATCCATCCAAAAGGGCTTCTGGGATACCATTATGTTGAAGCCCAACTGGATTGAACATGGATTGTGACCTTTGGCTCTGCATGGTACAGCCAGTGGAATTTAAATAGAGCCTCAGTCTGAAGGGTTTTGGCTCTAGCTAAGGTCGTGGTTCGTAAGGAGTCCCAGCAATACTGGGGGTGGACAGTGGACCCAGTAGAGGTCTTGAGTCCTTAAGGGGCGAATATAAGTTGTCCTCCTTATGTCAGTACTCAGTTCTCACAGTAAAGAATGTTAGTGAATTACTGCTACTTTAATCCCAGCATTGAACAAGAATGGTAAAGACGGTGAAATATCAGTACAACAGACTTCTGGGAAACAACAAATTTATTATCATGTGTTCCTGGAAGGAACAAGTAAAAAATGTAATAGCATGCCACCCTTATGACATCAAAAATTAGACATATGGTTTCAATGTAGCTTCTGCAAAAGCCAGTGACTTCCGTAAAATCAACTATTTCACCTCCTGCTCTTCAGCAGCACGTGTCAGATGTCCTTAGAGTGACGATTCTCATTGTGTCTGCATGTATGCAGAAGCCTGTTCCCATTTACATTGTTGCCACAATCTTTCATTATTCCCCCCCCCTCCTTTTTTAATGAAATTCCCATGTGTAGTTACCCAAAACCTGAAAGAACTTGTGGGCATGTCATGCTTTTAAGATCTTGTGTCTAGGTATGTAACTTCCTTCACTGAAATGAGCGATAGTGACTGCTTGTTCATGGATTAGACTGTCAATAATGCGTGTGCATTGTCTCTCTGTCTAGAAATCTGTTCAAAAATGGCAGTAAGGTTGTCAGCCTTATGCTCCGGCTGCGCTTTACTCCCCAGGAAAATTATTTAATTAATTCCTTGTACTCGTTTTTGTTAGAAGCTGAGTCGACCCCAGGGCCATAGTGCAGCTGGAAGGATTAGGTCAATTTAAAAAAATCCAACAACCTGATCGGGACTTGAACCCTCGACCTTGACCCTCAACGTCTCTCAACCCTATGGGCCTTCACGGCCTGTTACAGGGATAGCTTTACTTTTTTTACTTACGTTGTTTCTCTAAATTATTTTATATAATTATTAAGAGAGCTTCTGGGAAATGATGTTATGGTGTCTGGTAGAAGTTTGCCAACTTTTCAGATGAATATACTGCTTCCACCTTCAGGACCAAAGATCAGGCAGTTGTTTGTTGGTATCCTCTTCAATCCTGAAGATAGTGTCATTTCATTCCATTGAAACATCAGGAATCTTCTACCAGACTACATGGTGTCATATCACAGAAGACACTGGTGTGAGAATTATATATAATTATTATCCTATTCATCATATATTGTAGTAATAAATGAATGTCTGTGTTCAGAATTGTATTTCTTGCAGAACGTACAAATACGTATCTTGAATGCAGGTACTACTCTTTTAACTCCATATATAGTCAACCTGTAGTGTTCAGTAACCGAATACAAGTGATCATCAAGAATGTGCATTTGTTTATGTCAGGATTAAACTTACAGTAGAGAGCCTGTAATTTCAACCTTTTCCTGTATCGCAATAATTTACTGAAATTCTTGAGACTTTTCACTTTTTTCAGGTGGTATTTCAAATTTTGTTGTATTTTTCCAACCATCACTCCAAAACAGTAAAAGATCTAGTTCAGCCATCTAGTATCACTGACAGGAACTAAAATAACAGCATAATAGCAATGTGTTGATTGATTGATTTACTGATGAAGGGGTGGGTCATATTGACCCTTACACTGTGACTGCCATTTGGTCTTTAGTGTGTCCCCCATCTTAGTCATTCCTCTAGCAGTCCCACACTTTAGTGTAAGTGGATGACAAATTATGGAACATATTGTATATGATATGGAGAGGCAGGAAGGCACTCAGAATTTATGTATGTCTTAGTATTTCATAATATTCATGTTTTGTTTTCTAGTGAACTCAGTTGACAGCCTGATTGCCCAGATGAGTCCAAGCCTCAGCAAACACTGGAGGAACTTCAGAAAATGATTCACCAAATACTGACACATGGAAATTAAGTCCAGCGCCCACCAGCATCAGCAACACACGGAAGAGTTTCTTTTAGGGCAATGTCAAGTTCTGTAAGATTTGACTTGCAGCACAATATGCTGGTGTCATCAGCAAATAAAATTGGTTTTGATTCTTTATTTATTGTATTTGGCAAATCATTTATATATATCAAAAAGAGCAATGGCCCCAAAACAGAGCCCTGAGGGACACCCTGTTTTACACTTTGCCACTCCGAAATTCCACTAGTAATATTGCTATTTAGTACTGTTCTTTGTTGTCTATCCCTCAAATAAGTTTTAATTAACTTTCCTGCTTTACCATTAAAACCAAAGAACTCTAGCTTAGCAAGAAGTATTGTGTGATTTACACAATCAAATGCTTGGGTCAGGTCACAGAACAGGCCTCCCATTATTATTTGTTGCTGTTAGAATGGTATTTATGAAATCATAAATGGCTGATTCAGTGGACAATTTAGATGTTGAAATCTATTATATATGATTCTTTCAAAGATCTTAGATCAATAAAGATATCAGCGTATAATTTGCTATATCAGTTCTATCACCTTTTTTAAAAATAGGATTTATTTGAGAATATTTTAATCTTGAGGGGAAGACACCAAGATTCAATACTTTATTACACATATATGTTAATGTTTCCAATATGAATGGTAAACTTATTTTGAGAATATATTGTGAAATTTCATCATATCCATGTGAATGTTTCCATTTTAATGATTTCACTATGTTTTTAACTTCTTTATTAGTTACTGGTGACATATATATATATATCTGGAAAGGGGTGTTTAAACATGGTAATAAGGAATTTAAGGGCTTCATTCCTGTCTTTAGTAGAACTATTTTTTATTTGTGATAGTGGATATATAAAATAATTATTAATGTAACTAGCCATTTTTTTTTGTATATTATTACATAACTTACCTTCTATATTTATGCTTGCTATTGGATTTTTTTCCTATTTAGTTTTAGTTAAAGTTTAGTTAAACTCCAAGTAGTTTTCATTTTATTATTGGAATTTAAAATTAATTTATTATAATAAAGTTGTTTTGCTTTCCTTATAACCTCTGTTAAGATTCTGCAATAATTCTTGTAATATCTTGCTAATTCCGGATCATCCAAATTTCTACTAAGCAAATATAGCTCTCTCTTACGAATGCATGACATTTTTATACCTATTGTTAGCCAGGGTTGTTTGGTATGGGTGAATATTAATTTTTTGTAAGGAAAACTGCCCAGCTCTTTCCTTCGTGTTTATAAAATAAGAACTTAGCCTTTTTACCACTTCAGTGATCCTTGATTTAACATCCATGATGTGCCATGTATTATATTGTATAATGTTGATGTATATAGTTATGGTTTTTAAATATATTAACTGATTGAACTGTATGATTTACTGGACACTGGCCTTCCTAATTATTTAAAAATGATGAAAGTAGTCCTCTGCTATCCTTTAGAAAAATGTATCTTACCTAATCTTATTTCAGAGCTACATTACCACTTACCACCTCTGTGGCCAAACTAAATGGAGAACTGTGTTGTCTGAATCTCTCAAAGGTCCTAGTGAAGGGAACTTCAATGGAAAGTAGAGAACTCTACATTTTGGAGCAATCTGCTGTTCCAGGTCCTTGGGACGAAAATCTGGTTGCAACTTGTGGAACTTGCTTATGGAGTCCAAGAATGAATCTTGATTGTACTAAGAATTGAACAATATAATATCAGCCACAAGACTGAAAATTAAAATTACAAACAATTTAGTACAATTTTAATTTACCTAGGTAGGTCAATAAGTAAGTTACAAATGGATATAGAACTTAAACAAATGAGTGTACTGATTTGAAAAATTCTTTTATTTCTCAATATAATCTTCCTGTACATTGAGGCGTTTGTCCCAGCATTTCACAAGCCCCTGAAAACCAGCAGCATAAAATTCTTTGGGCTGCTGTCGGAACCAGGCGTGTTCACGCGGCATGGCCTACCTCATAATGCATGACAGGTTGCATGCTTCCGTTGAATGGCCTTACGAAGTTTCCTCAGGGTGTTACAGTTTCTCCTTGAGGCTGGAATGCGGTGAGCCTTTGTAATCCCAGAAGACTGTGAGCATCACTTTCCTGGATGATGGTGTCCCCTTAAACTTTCTTTTGGTAGGTGACACAGGATGTTTCCACTGCATTGATGCACGCTTTGCCTCTGGCTGGTAATGGTGAACCCAAGACTCATCACCTGTGACAATGTGGGGTAGCATATCATGTCCATCGTGGTGGCAATTGAGATGCTGTAATGCCAGACCGATTCTTTATGTTTTGTGTTGTGGGGTCAGCATGCACGGCACCCATCGTGCACAGACTTTGTGAAAACCTAACCTGTCATGCATTATGAGGTAGGCCATGCCATGTGAACATGCCTGGTTCTGACAGCAGCGCAGAGAATTTATATGTTTAAGTTATAGATATTTTCAGAACCTACTTAATTATGGAGCTGAACCCTTCTTGAGAAGCTAAATCTGCAGCTACTCAAGAATTTTCCAGCATTTTATGGAACCCGAAGGTTCATTACTGTGTTCACAAGAGCCCTCCACTGGTCACTATCCTGAGCCAGATCTATCCAATTCATATCATCTCATCTTATATCTCTAATATCCATTTTAATATTGTCCACCCACCTGTGCCTTGGTCTTCCCAGAACCTAAAGGAGAAGAAGAGCAAAATATTCTGTGTCTGAAAATGAAGTAAGAAGAGAAAATTTGTTGATAAAACTGACGCAATAACAGACCTATCAGCAGACTTCCATGACTTCAGCATATTTAATTTTTTTTTTCCATTCCATGTTGTTTTATTTTCAAAGATATCTGAATGAAACAATGTAAGAAACTAAGATATTTTCATGAATACCTCCAGCAAGTTTATTTTGAAAACTGAACCTAGGAATTGTGGAGATGAAATCTAAATCTGTATCATTCTGCTCATATATGGAGTAACTTAACATACCCTTAACTTGTCACATTTATACAACTCCAAATTATCAAATTCTGTATAACTGTGTGTAGGAGCAAAATATTCTTATTAAATAAGTTATATTATTGCAAAAATATTGTGTTAAAATTTTATATTTATTGCATGTTAAACTGCAAGTCAGCTCGCTAGTTTTAATCATCCTGTTCTGAATATTATTCTCTTCCTTTCTCAAGATTTTCCCATAGCCTAGAACCGTGAAATAATATTAGCAATCAAAACCAAGACTCTGGGCTACTTCTTGTTGGAAAGAGTGAAGTGCGACAACTTTTAATCACGTGACAGTTGCACTGCAGGTTCCTCTCTTACAAGACAACTTGTTTTATTCATCATTACAGAGTCCTTTAGAAAATGAACATCTCTTGCGAAGAATGCCATCTTCTAGGATGTGGCATCGTGTAGATCTTGTGTGAACCGACGTTTTGGAGAAATGTATCTCCTCCATCTTCAGATTGCTCAGTCTGCAGCCACCTGCTCACATTGGTTCCTCTCTTGCGGATTTTCTACCCTGAAGATGGAGGCGATACGTTCCTCTGAAACATTGGTTCACACAAGATCTACAAGGCGCCACATCCCAGAAGACGGTATTCTTGTATATTTTCCTTGCATATTTGTGGTTTATTTAATGGCGTGTAATTGACTTGAATTGTAGAGTGTCGAATTATTGGATGGTAATAAATAATGAATTGGAAGGACATGAAAGGAAGAAAAGGGGCAACACAAATGTATAATATGGAGGGATTCAGACTCAAGAAACTAAACGAGGTAAGGGATAAAGAATAGTACCTGGTTAAAATGATAAAACAGGTTTGCACTATATACAAAATTTAAATAATGATGCACATATTAATAGACTTGGGAGACTATTAAATAAAATTTAAAAAACTCAGCCAAAAAGCCATTTTACATTATGAATTTAAGCAGCATTGGACATGGTTGAAAGAAGGATGTTCACAGTTATTAGATCAAAGAAAACAAGCCAGATTGCAAAGGTTACAGGAGCTGAGCCAATAAAATGGGGATCGTCTAAACAATGTACAATGTAAAGCTAGCAGATATAGATAACTAACTGACTAACTAACTACCTGAAACTAAATTCGCTTAGTGTGGGGTGGAGTCCAACTGGGTCCACTTGGCACAGCGGCCACTGATTGGTCTATTGTAGCCTTCCCCAGGTGATTATGATGATGGAGAATTTGGTGGAATGAAGATTGGCAGGGAAACTGAAGTACTCGGAGAAAGCCCGCCCCAATGCCACTTTGTCCACCACAAATCCCACTTGACCAGACCCGGGATCGAACCCGGGCCGCCGCAGTGGGAAGCCAGTGACTAACCGCTTGAGCTATGGCACGGCCTAACTAACTACCTAACTAAATAATTAATTTTATGGAACTGATCCTTTCTTGGGAAGCCGCCAATTGTACAGCTACTCCTGAACTACCCAGCAATTTATGGAACCTGAAAGTTCATCACAGTGTTCACAAAAGCCTTCCACTTGTCCCTATCCTGAGCCAGATTGATTCAGTCCATACCACACCATCCTAGATCTCTAAGATCCTTTTTGATATTACCACATATAGGGGTGTCTGACTATAGACAGGGTATGGATTGGTGAATGGATATATTGACCACTTGTATTCACCACTCGGACTACACTTTATAGGTCACTCACACACACAGACAAGTATACTCAGTCTATTAGTCTCTCCACTAGCCGTTTCCTAGCAACGGTTTCTAACTAAGAAAATTCTTCAGCTTCCTGTACTTAGCATTTACAACCTTTATGGTATGCATCCTGTTGTGTGTTATTTATGAAAATATGCAATTTGGCACAGTCGCACACACAACAAAAAATCGAAAAGAAACAAAACAAACACTATGTAAGTTTTGAGGTTTTCACGGCGATGACTATGAAGAAAGTCGTCTTCTGTGTTTAGGCGCCGTGTATTCTTCGTTTTGGCCGACGTTTCGGAGGAACGTATCGCCTCCATCTTCAGAGCAGTTGAATGGCTTGGAATGCAGAGAGCAGTAGCTGTAGTGATAGGAAGTGAAAGGTGCTGCTTATATACGAAGTAGGCAGGAGGGATGGTTAGGGAGAACGGACCAATAGGAGCAGTGGACAGCGATTAAGGCCATATATGGTGTTGTGTGCTAAGTGAGGGTGGGGGAACGGCCAGTGAATCCAGGAAACTTTAGGTCAATAGCACTAGGAAGTTGTGGTAGACAAGAAGAACCGGTTGGTTGGGGACAGGCTACTGCTCTGAAGATGGAGGCGATACGTTCCTCCGAAGCGTCGGCCAAAACGAAGAATACACGGCGCCTAAACCCAGAAGACGACTTTCTTCAAAACAAACACTACTTTGTCAACATTTGTTTTCATTCGTTGTTGGTGATATCGCTACATGTTTCGAACCTTTTCTTTGGTTTAGTTCAGGTGTAAACGAATACTATGTGGTTTCTGAATTGCATCATTAATCAATATGAATTCATACTGTGTCTATGATTATTCTATAATGACAATTATATCTTAAATTTAAAATGTTTAAATATAGTTAAAGCTAGACGTTAAACTTGATATTAAATGGATAAAAATTAAAATTAAAATTACCGTTAAAAATTATAATTAAAATGACTATAAAGGAATTTATAGACAAGATTACAAATTCCATTTATGTCTTATGCCTGCTTGCTTGCTTACTTGCTTACTTATGTATTTAATTATGGAACTGAGCCCTTCTTGATGAGAAGCCCAATCTGCAGTTACTACAAGTGGTCTCTTACCATCTGGCTTTCCCACCAATATCCTATATGCATTCCTTTCCCACCATTCGTGCTACATGCCCTGCCCATTTCATCCTCCTTGAGTTGATCATTCTAATTATACTTGAAGAAGAGTAAAAGTTATGAAGCTCCTCATTATACAGTTTTTCCAACCTCCTGTCACTTCATCCCTCTTCGGTCCTAATATTCTCCTCAACGCCCTGTTCTCAAACACCTTCAGTCTATGTTCCTCCATTAATGTCAGAGACCAATTTTCACACCCATACAGAACCACAGGCAAAATTGTAGTTTTTTATTAACTAATTTTTATGCTTTTGGACAACATACGAGAAGACAAAACGTTCTGGACTGAATGGTAACAAGCATTACCCTAGTTCAATCTCCTCTTAATTTCATCCTCAATCAGGTTTCGATTTGTTATCATCGTTCCCAAATATCTGAACTGTGCCATATTTTCAAAATATCTGTTTCCTTTCGTTATGTCATGATTTTGCCCTGCATTTTGTTGACGAGACAGCATCATATACTTAGTTTTCTCTATGTTTACTTCTAGACCAACCTCCTTACTAGCATCAATTAAAGTTTGTGTACTTCCTTTTATGGTATCTAGATTATCACATTATCGGCATAGACCAAGAGCTGATGTGTCCCGTTTAATTTCAGCCCCACCTGGTTTCCCTGGACCTTCCTAATTGCATATTCTAAAGCAAAGTTGGAAAGGGTGGCAATAAAGCATCTCCTTGGTTTAGACCATTTTGGATAGGAAGTTTATCAAGCAAATGTTTGCTTATATGGGCTTCATTTACGTTTCATTTAAACACATTTTAATTAGCTTAACTAATTTCATGGGTATCCCAAACTCTATCAGAATATTCTACAATTCTTCCCTCCTAACTGAATCATATGCTTTCTTGAAGTCTACAAATAGCTGATGTATTGGCTCATTGTACTCCCAGTTTTTCTTCAATATCTGACAAATGCAAAAATCTGATCTGTATTCGATCTGTTACATTGAAACCCACACTGATGATCCCCAATTATTTCATCTATGTATGGACTTATACTTGAGAGAAGAATATTGGATAAAATTTTGTATGAAGTTGATAGCAGTGATGTCCCCTGATCATTACTACAGTCAGTTTTATCACCCTTCTTGTGAACTGGTACAATAATAGATTCCTTCCACTGATCAGACAATTTTTCCTTATACCAACTAGAATTAATTAGCTTATGGATCTTAGTACGTAATATTTCGCCACCTGCTTCAACAAGTACTGCCGGAATTTGATCACTACCTGGTGATTTATACCTTCTCAATTTTGCAATAGCAATTTCAACCTCAAAAGGGCTGGGATCAGGTATTAACGGGTCAGCTGTAGGCATTTCAATCTTGCCTAACATCTCTGATCCTACGTACCTTCAAGCAGATCACCGTTATCATTCTTTACTGAGTTACTTCTAGGTTGGTAACACGCCTTAAAGTCAATTATTCCTCTGTACAGATCTCTAATGTTCTTGTTCTTGCTGTTCATTGCAAGCTCATCAATTATGTCTTTCAGATATACCCTCTTTTTTTTTTCATGAGATATCTGCTGGTTTTGCGTCTTATATTGTTCAGATTATCCCTATTTATTTCGTCTGGATCCTGTAACCATTGCACATTGTCTCGTTTTCTTTAGTCTAGTAATTTTGAGCATCCTTCATCGAACCATGACTTATGTTTCTTCAGTTCATAATAACCTAGACTCTCCATGGCAGAAATTTTTATATTCTCTCTAATAGTTTTCCAAGTTTTATTAACAACCACCTCGGTGTTCAAGGTTTTCAAGGCCGGAAACCTATTTGAGATTTCAAATCGATACTGCTCTTTAACCTCTACCTCATTTAATTTCTTGAGATTGAACCTCTCCATATGAACACTGTGCGTTGCTTGTTTGCTCACTCCCAGTCTTTTCCTATTCTTTGCCACCACCAGGTAATGGTCAGTATTACAGTCTGCTGCCCTGAATGATCAGACATCAAGTATACTTGAACGCCACCTCCTATCCATTGAAATATGGTCGATTTGATTGTGTATCTTCTCATCAGGAGATGTCCAAGTAAGTTTATAAATGTTACGATGCAGGAACATTTTACTTTTGACAGTAAGATTTCTTGATGTTGCAAAGTTTACTACTCTAACTCCAGTATCATTACTAATTTCATGCAAAATCTCATTCCCAATCGTTGGTTTGAATATGTCTTTCTTCCTTACTTTGGCATTGAAATCTTCTAGCAAAATTTTCATATGGTACTTCTGGAATTTATCAAATACATGTCCTAGTTCTTCAAAGAACCTGTCCTTTATGTCATCAATTTTATCTTCTATTGGGCTGTGAACATTAGTAATGATGATATCACACAGTGACCTTTTAGTATTATGTATAATACCCTATCACTAATGAACTCTACCCTCTTAACTGCTGATACAATTATCTTATGTACAAAAAAATCTGTACCTAATTCATGATTTTCATTTACATTTGCGAAGAAAAAATGTATATTCGCCTGCTAGTACGATGCCACCTTCATCCCATCTGACCTCCTATACCCTCACTAAATTTAAATTATATTTTGAGATTTCTTCAGTCACTGTCCTGAGCGAAACTGCCCTATACAAACTTTTAACATTACATGTACCAAATCTCATATCCAATTTCTTTAGCTTAGGTCTTTTATCCAAAGAATCAGTCCAGGCTCAAGGTTTCTTAAGAATTTTCATAACGAGTTTATTTTTACAGTGAGGAGCTGTAGCCCCACGCCCAACCTCCAAACTGAAGGACCACCCCTTAACGGCTCTCCGCAACTGCTTATTCAATATAATCACAGCTTTCCTCCATACCTGGAGGGCGTCTTCACCATTTGCAACCTGAGGACACGCTAAGCCATAGTGACAAGGGACCCACTTAACATTGTTATTCAGAGCACTATTTTGTAAAATTTGGTCTTGGTTATTAGACATACACTTCTTGTCCTTTAGCTTTTTATTAACGTGCTGATCACACAACCTGTCATGTATGTTTACTTCTGAACACAATAATTCGATTATTATTTGCATGGATTTCTTTTTTCCAATGTTTTTTCACTCCTAGCCTTTAATATATCACAATTTTCACAATAACCTTTTGGATTTCCATTAGTTGCCAGGTTCAAATACAGGGACCTATATTTACTAGAAGCATAGTACATACCGGTAGTTACTATGTACGATATAGTTCACGGTGTCCAGTGATCAAGAGGGACAACATTAGGTCAAAGAGAGTAGCATATTTGCGTGCAATATAGAAGTACAATGAGGAAGGTCGAACTATAATTTATGAGGACAAGACCTTCATTCACAGCAGTCACACCAGACTTAAAAACTGGACGGATAACACTCCATCAAGGTACATGGAACCCGTATCGAATGGCCAGCAGCAGATTATTGTGCACGCGGGAGGCAGAACCGGCTTCATTCCCGGGTCATTGCTGATGATTAAATCTCATCTCAAGACCAGGGACTATCATAGCGAAATGAACGCAACAAATTATCAGAAGTGGCTAACAGAAAAACTTATTCCGAATTTGCCTCCAAAATTAGTTATTGTTGTAGATAATGCCCCATATCACAACGTGGAGTTTAATAAGGCGCCAACCAGCCAGACTACGAAGGCCAAGTTGATGGAGTGGCTTACAGTAAACAATGTGCCATTTCATGACAGAATACTCAAAATTCAGCTCTATGACATGATCAAGGCACATAAACCCCTCAACAAAAACTTTGTAATGGACAACATAATGGCTGCATATAGACACACGGTATTACGACTTCACCATATCATCCAGACTTGAATCCGATTGAACTCATTTGGGCTGATGTTGAGCAGTCAGTAGGGGCAGAAAATGTCTCATTTCATTTGGATGACATGGCAAAGAATGTGAGAAGTGGTTCAGTGAATGTGGAACAGAGAATTGGGAAAAAGTTTGCGACCGCACCGAAAAGAATGAAAAGGAATATATCAAAAAAGAGGGAATTCTGAAGACAGCAGTGACAGCGACTCCAGTGACAATGATACAACTGAACTCAGTGAAAACAGTGAGTTGTCTGGAGTGGAACTGTTAGACAAATAATTAGTATTATGTTAGGTTTATGTGTATTTTAATTTAATGTTGGTAGTGTAGTGCAGCATACTGTGAGTATCCAATTGGTATGGGGGACTCTCTCCCCATGGTAAAGTGGCTGGGGCGTTCAGCTGGCTATAGATTGATGACTGGGGTTTGATTCATGGCAGTCTCAAAATTTTTCTCTTTGCCTCATTGTTCAAATCAAATGTAGGGCAGAGCCAGCATCTTATCTGGTGGATACTGTGGCTGTTTCCTTGTTTCCTAGATGAAAGAAGTAATCAGGATATAGAACTATACCTCTACTCTGCCATATAGCTGTGTGGCATAGTGCTTAATTAACACTTCGTGGACTGGTGGCATATTTTTATGCCCAGCGCTTTTAAACGTGGTGGACCAGTGGCATATTATTATGACTTTAGGACACGTTATGTTGAAACACACTATACCTTGTAATGGCGCCAGGCAGATGCATGACTGGTGCGTGACAGACCTCTTGAATGTTTGCTTCGTAGTCAGTAACATGACCCCGCTGTTTACGAGCCAACTGTTTTCCTTTCTCACTCCAAAAGAAAATGCCTTTTTCATCTTCCAGCTGCATGCACCAGGCAGGAAGTTACTAGTGCAAAATGGATCAAGGTCGGAAGAGGTTGAAGTCCAAGCGTTTTCTCGGAGAACAAGAAATATCTGACTTGTTCTCCAATGAGCTATCTGATGTCCCTTGTGAGTCTGCTAGTGATAGCGACTCACAATCTGATAGTGAGGGTGGCAGGGGTGAACAAAAAATTGTGGCCACAGACAGTGAAAGTGAAAGTGAAAGTGAAATTGAAAGTGAAAGTGACAGTAGCTCCGACGAAAGTGCGGGTAGCAACATTGCGGGGACAGCCACATGGGGAAAATTAGACAAAATGCCTGCTTTGGGACAGTTTACTGGAAATCCAGGGGTGAAGCAAATTTCATCGGACGCAACGCAAATGTCTGAAGTGGCGGAACTGTTTTTCCACAATTCACAATTTGAGCATCGTTGATGTTCAAAGGAGACATGGACAGGTAAAGAAGCCTATTTGTATTTCCAAGTATAATATGTTCATGAAGGGAGTTGATAGAGCCAATCAGTACTTGGCCTATTATTCTCTTCCTCGGAAAACAGTAAAGTGGACAAAAAAAGTTGCCTTGTGGCTTATAAATTGTGACATTTTCAATTCATTTTTGGTTTTCAAAAATCTAAACCCTCATTCAAAATTGAAATACAAGGCATTTCTGCTGAAGTTGGCAAAANAAAAGCCTAGGCTACAGACCACACAGTGGCAGCAGAACCGGCGGCAGACACAGTCTTAGTATGACTGGAGCCGTCTACTCCCACCCCACACAGGCCTCATTTTGACCCCCCTGGGCGACTCTTGGGTGATATGCAGAAACATACCCTCGTGAAAATTGTGAATAGTGAACATGCCAAGGGGAAGCAGCCTTCTAGGCAATGCTGTGTTTGCACAGTACACAACAAAAGGAGTATGACTGTCTATATGTGCAAGTTCTGTGTAATGCCACTTCACAAAGGGGAATGTTTCCAGAAATATCACACTCTCAAGCACTTCTAGGAGCACTGGTAAGTGTTGTCCAAAAATTTTAGTTCATAAATCTAATTAGGAGATTTTATATTAATTTTTAAAGTGAACAGTGCACAAGTTAGGGTAGTAGGTTTAAAAATGCCGGTCCCCAGGGTGATTTAAATATTTAAATTGCCGGTCCGCAAAGTTTTAAGCACAAGGACAACTACCCTTAATGCAGTAAATACCCTAAGTTATCATTCTTTTGAGGTTTGATTTGTTGTATTTGCTAACTATGTGGCATATTCATATCTGACCTATATAATCTACAATAGAAGTATGTAGATGCATTTTTATATTCTTAGTATAAACAGTTCTGTCTCTGATTATTCTATCAAATATGGCACATAATTGTAAATATGGGATATTATGTACCAAGAGGTGAGAAATATTTGACTCAGTATAACAAGTTCATAAATAATTTTAGTGATCACAGTTTTGTAATACAGTTCAGTATTGTATTGTATTGTATTGTATTTATTACACATTCCAGCACATCCATACAAGGCCAAAGCCATTGGATACAGAACCTGTCACACCACAAGCTTGCTAAGTCAGCAAGTAGTCAACAGAACAATGCATATAAATCCACAACAATAAATCAAGCATATGAAACCCCTACACATCACTGCAACTACATAACCCACCATGTGTATATAAAATATAATACAAAATTGGAACATATACATGACAATAGGTCAAATAACTGGTCACAGCTAAACAAAAAACTATTCCTAATTAAAATATTCATCTAAAGTATAATAGGATTTAGTACGTAAAAAAACACTTAAAACTGCCCTAAATTGCTTAATATTATGGATTAACTCTTTTATATTTAAAGGAAGATGATTAAGAAGCTTAATACCAAAATAAAGAAGTCCTCTCTGGTAAGTTGTCAAATTTGTCTGAGGGCAACAAAGATCAAAATTACGCCTAGTATTAAGGCCATTAATATGTGATGTCGTGTGATACAAATGCATATTATTTGCAACAAACATCAATAAAGAAAATATATATTGGGACTGCAATGGCAAAATTCCCCAATCCCTAAATGCATCTCCACAAGAGTCCCTAGATCTCAACCCACTCATGGTTCGAATTATTATTCTCTTTTGAATTCTGAAAATGTGCATACTATAAGAATTGCCCCAAATATAATTCCATAGAACAAAAGTGAATGGAAATAAGAGTAATATACCATTTTTAATGTCTGTGGGCATAATGGGCTTGATCACCCTCATTGAGTAACAAGCCTTGCACAATTTAGGCATGAGTTGGGATATATGAGCTTTCCAAGTACATGAGCTTTCAATAGCTAATCCCAAAAACTTCACATTTGTACTACTGAAAATCACATTATTATGATACTTAATAGAAGTTATGCTATTAGATCCTGGATTTGTCATAAACTGAACATGTTTAGTTTTGTTAAAATTCAGAGTTAATAAGTTTGAATTAAACCAATCATTGAGATAAGCAAAAGAAATATCAACATCATTTCTGTATTGTATATTATTATAACTATTAATAACTAAACTTGTATCATCTGCAAATAAAACTGATTTGACTGAGTTATTAAAAATTTTAGGTAGATCATTTATATAGAAGAGAAAAAGAAATGGACCAAAATGGACCCCTGAGGGACACCATGCCTTACAATATCCCAACTAGAGGTACCAGCGTAACTCAAGTCGGTGCTTGTTATTAAAACTCTCTTATATCTATCAGATAAATAGGATGTAATTAAATCATGAAAATTACCATATATTCCATAAAATTGAAGTTTATTCAATAAAATCCCATGATTAACACTATCAAAAGCCTTTTTTAAGTCACAGAAAATACCACCTACAATTTTTTGCTTATTTAGTGCTTTCAGTATTTCATTAATGAATACATAGGAAGCTTTAGTAGTTGAAGATTGAGNGTCAAATAACTGGTCACAGCTAAACAAAAAACTATTCCTAATTAAAATATTCATCTAAAGTATAATAGGATTTAGTACGTAAAAAAACACTTAAAACTGCCCTAAATTGCTTAATATTATGGATTAACTCTTTTATATTTAAAGGAAGATGATTAAGAAGCTTAATACCAAAATAAAGAAGTCCTCTCTGGTAAGTTGTCAAATTTGTCTGAGGGCAACAAAGATCAAAATTACGCCTAGTATTAAGGCCATTAATATGTGATGTCGTGTGATACAAATGCATATTATTTGCAACAAACATCAATAAAGAAAATATATATTGGGACTGCAATGGCAAAATTCCCCAATCCCTAAATGCATCTCCACAAGAGTCCCTAGATCTCAACCCACTCATGGTTCGAATTATTATTCTCTTTTGAATTCTGAAAATGTGCATACTATAAGAATTGCCCCAAATATAATTCCATAGAACAAAAGTGAATGGAAATAAGAGTAATATACCATTTTTAATGTCTGTGGGCATAATGGGCTTGATCACCCTCATTGAGTAACAAGCCTTGCACAATTTAGGCATGAGTTGGGATATATGAGCTTTCCAAGTACATGAGCTTTCAATAGCTAATCCCAAAAACTTCACATTTGTACTACTGAAAATCACATTATTATGATACTTAATAGAAGTTATGCTATTAGATCCTGGATTTGTCATAAACTGAACATGTTTAGTTTTGTTAAAATTCAGAGTTAATAAGTTTGAATTAAACCAATCATTGAGATAAGCAAAAGAAATATCAACATCATTTCTGTATTGTATATTATTATAACTATTAATAACTAAACTTGTATCATCTGCAAATAAAACTGATTTGACTGAGTTATTAAAATTTTTAGGTAGATCATTTATATAGAAGAGAAAAAGAAATGGACCAAAATGGACCCCTGAGGGACACCATGCCTTACAATATCCCAACTAGAGGTACCAGCGTAACTCAAGTCGGTGCTTGTTATTAAAACTCTCTTATATCTATCAGATAAATAGGATGTAATTAAATCATGAAAATTACCATATATTCCATAAAATTGAAGTTTATTCAATAAAATCCCATGATTAACACTATCAAAAGCCTTTTTTAAGTCACAGAAAATACCACCTACAATTTTTTGCTTATTTAGTGCTTTCAGTATTTCATTAATGAATACATAGGAAGCTTTAGTAGTTGAAGATTGAGGTCTGAAACCAAATTGTTCATTAACTATAATATTATGGTCATAGACATTAATTAACAACTCTCGCATTTGTATAGAATTATTTAAAATATAATTAATTAAGATGACACAGTAATACTTCTTCTATTCAAGAACTTAATAGATAGAACCATAAACACCCTGCTATATGATATAAGAAATTGCCTAGCAGTAAATGAACCATGCTTGATTACAGTCTAGAGATCATCTGAGATGTTAGGAAACACAGATACGAACACAGATAAGCATGGCAAGATTTGGCAGGTATCATTACGGAATTGTAGGATGAACAGTCAGTCACGGAATACATTCAAGTTTATTGAAGAGCACAGTCATGTAATTTCATCACAACAAGTTATTTATGTTGTTAGGCTTACATTATAATTTTTTCTTACGGCCCATATATATGGTTTGAAATATATGTGCTAAGGCTATGCTCAGAGCACTGTCAAGAACTTTGTTATTTTCACCAATATAAATGCAAAGTAGATAAATATGTAGGCAGTATAGATATTTGTGGCAAACTTTAGAACAAGTGTCTTTATGTCATTTGTGTTTGCTACAGATATGGAAGGTGTCATAAATCCATTCTGAATATTTTTCCCCATAAAAATCATTGTATTTACCAGAATGTCAGGGTTGCAGATATGCTGTCAAAAATTATAGTTTAACAGATTATTATATGTACAAAAGAAAGATAAAAACTGAATATCGCCTATTAGAAGCGCAAAACCTTCTTATAAGCAATAGCATCAAGTGGTAAAATGGTTGATGAGTAATGAACTGGAATGGAAGCAGACATGGCCTAATTTTATGAATTATTCTGGCATTTATCTAGGGAGGCTAAGGAAAACCACGAAAAATATCAGGACAGTTGATATACCAGCTGAGATTTGAACCAGGCTCCTCTTGAATGTAAGTCAGAAGTGTTACTGCTTGAGCTAACTTTTTCGGTATATAGGCACTGTCCACACATAGTTTATAATCTTGAGCTTAAAACTAGCAGCACTCTCACTTAAACTGATGATGACTGTAGGCCCAGGCTATTTACACAGCTCACAGGTGGATGATCTTGACATTTATAGAAACATCTACTGCCATATCCTCAGTTTGCATATACAGCAAATTAACATGACCATTTTCTATACTGTCACATATGAAATGATGGCATGCTTTATTTCTGTTATGAAATACAGGATCATATATGCCAGCTTTGAGCTCCATAATTGTCATTATACATCGCAATTGATTCTTTTTCTCCAAACACTTAATATAATCTGCAAATCCTTGAATGTAGATAGTGTCTTTTGTTGCTGTTCTGTCTGTTGATACCTTCACTCTTCAACAAAAGCAATTTCTGGATCAACATAAATTTTGTTTTGTTCATATTTCCTTCATTCTTCATGTTATTTATCATCTCTTGACTTAACAAAATTTTCTACTTTTGTTCATGCAGCAAAATTGGCTTTGTTTCAGGCTGAGCATTCTTTTCAAACCCAAATCCATGTTTGGTACTTTCACTTTTATTTTTAGTGTATTCTATAAACACCATATATTGAGCCCTAATTATCTCTGTAGGATTTGTAGGATCAGTGAGACAATAATCCTATGCCTCTTCACCGTATATAAAATAATACACACTTGTTACTTTCAGATTCACTTTACTTTTAAGGTTTCTTGAGATCAAGCATGAGAAGTCTGCATTCAGATACTCTGAGATGGCTCACATCTATTGTACCTGTCTCCCTTATAATTCACAAGTAGTACAAAGCTTTGAATGGTGTAATATAGCATAGCATAGTTATCCATAATATGGGAGTAGGTAGCTGAAATGTGTGTTTTCAGAACTGTATTAAATAGTGATTGGGACAAAAATTTGGTTCAGCATTAAAACTGAGGATGGGAGATGTTTTGAAGTTAATTTGCTTTGGTAAGGGGGACTGTGTTATCTTGAGGTAAATATGGCAGTGTCATGTGTTTCCTAGGTAATGTGGCAAGAAATTTATGTGGGTGTCAGATTAGACAGATATGTTTATTGGACAATTGCTTGTTTACACTCAAAATTATAACCACTCTCACTTATAACGCCTTCTGACGTTTCCTTTTCAACTGTTATAACATCTGTGCACCACTATTCTCAGTGGAGTGTCTTCGTTCTATGTTCTTCTTGGATTGCTCATTGAATCTGAACTATCCTTAGCTCTCTTTGGATCAGAACTCTCTTCTTCGCTCTCACTTACATCCTACACTCAGACAGGATAGAGACCACCTTGTCAATAGGTTCAGTTTTGCTGTTAGCTGGCATATTTATTAACTGGTCTATCTGTTGCCGTGGGAATTCAACAATTCTGCCTCTGTTGGGTAGGCAGTTTCCTATGTAGCTTGCGTTCTCATTGTCTGTTGTGCAGCAATGGATGTCCTATAGCCTGGCTTTCAGGCAGCACATCACATGTCACATAAGCTTAAGATAAGCTGCTTTGTATATAGGTTTAGTTGAAACACCTCTTTCTTTGATTTATTTAAACTAGGTCTATGTTAGGTTAGTTTTTTTATTGATTGGTAGTATTTATGCACAGAACTGACATAAATTGTGGTAACCTGTTCTACAGTTTGATGGATATTTTAAACTGGAAAATAATATTTAATTTTTTCATGTAGCCTGTCTGCAGAAATACAGTTCATGGTATAATTTTCAACGAATTGATCAGAACCAGTATGTTATGATTCTTGCTTCATAGGAAAAGAAAACTCATGTGAAAAATCAAGATTAACAGCAAGCAGAATCATATCTTATACTTGACTGTTAAATTAGCATACATTATCAGACAGTGGAGTAATTCTTTAAGCCACTGAGAATTTCTTTACCAGTAACATAAACTAAGCAATATGGTGGCTCATTCCCATGACTGCATGTATCTACTTTGTTGCTGTTGGTAATAAGCATTACTATACCCAAGACTGCAATAATTATTCCAAATGCAGCCAAACACAGAGCAGGAAATTTCTTGTGGGAAAGTAGAGATCCTTCCTCTAGCTTCAAGTAGCTAACAGCTGGCAGTACATACGCTAATGGAACTGCTGCTAGGACACCCTGAAACACATGGATAACTATGTTAGATATGAGATGACTGTGAAACAAGAAGCAAGCAAGCTTGTTGCTTGCTCACCTTACTCTTTGACCTTGAAGATGGAGGCAGTACATTCCTCTGAAAGATCAGTAAATGTCTCTTAGACTACATCGCCAAAATTAAATTTGCTGAACAACTTGCATGGATTGTCAGTTATAAAATTGACTGAAAATCACAAAATAGTCTTGGAGATGTCAGTTATAAAATTGACTGAAAATCACAAAATAGTCTTGGAGATGTCAGTTATAAAATTGACTGAAAATCACAAAATAGTCTTGGAGATGAAGCATGCAGAAGCATGGCCAGAGAGATACTTCCATACTATGCATTAATTTTATACACTTTTTGCAAAGACAACAGAGGGCCTGCGTGCTAAGAATAGTGAATAATTGTAGGCCAGTAGGAAGAAAAGACTCAGGACATGCTTGTAAAGGACAGCTAAGTACAGAGCAGACAGAATAAGAGGAGACTTTGCTGCTCCACAGGTAGGCCAGCTGCTGATTCAGCCTTACCCCTTTATGCATTCCACACTCTTGTCAAAGAGTTCTGGAAGAGATAAATACGAAGTTATAATTGTGTGCCAAGTTTAATATTTTATAATTTTCTTATAACCATTGATGTACAAGACTGATCAGAGAATTTTTATTTCTGAGATGTACAAGGTGGTTCAAATATGACCAGGACTGAATTGTGTGTAAACAAGCCGCACTGTGCAGCAGCTGTGCGACCTTGAGAGAGTGAAGCCACAACCTCCACCCTCACTCCTGTTCAGTCCTGTCTGGGAGTTGCTAGAGTGATGAGTGAACAGAAGGTACCGTGGAGCGTGGAACAACGTATTGTCATCAAATTCCTCGGAGAAAAGGTCCCGTCTGCTGAAATTCACCACAGACTCCAACAACAGTATGGGGAAGAGTGTCTCTCATGGACCCATGTGTTTGAGTGGTGTAAGTGCTTCAGAGAGGGCAGAGAGCACGTGGAGAATGAACCGCATGATCATCGGCCGCAAACATACGTCACTGAGCCAAACACTGATCATGCAGATGCGCTTATTCGTGAGAATAGGCACATCACTATCAGGGAACTTGGAGCAATGCTGTCCATCAGTGTTGGTAGTGTAGAAGACATCGTGAAATACCACCTGCACTATCGCAATGTGAATGCATGGTGGGTAAAACACACTTTGACGGATGTGAACTAAATGGTGTGCATGCAAGCTGCCAGTCATCTCCTACAGCAGTTTGAAGAAGAAGGTGATGCATTTTTGAAGTCTGTAATGACCACCAATGAAACATGGGTGCACTACTTCATTCCTGAGTCCCAGCAGTCATCACACGAGTGGCGGCATACCAGTTCTCCCAAACCCAAGAGAGCACGGAGGAGCCTTTCAGCAGGAAAAGTGATGGCAACGTTCTTCTGGGACTGGCAGGGGGTTATCCATGTAGACTTTCTGATAGATGCCAGACCAGTCAATGCAGCTAATTACTCAGACCTCCTGGCATCAGACATGAAGGAAAAGATCCGATCCAAGCATAAGACACGTGTAAAGTGGGTAGCCTTCCTTCAAGACAATGCACGCCCCCATACGGCCAAAACAACAATGGAAACCCTCCGGAAACTGAAATGGAATCTTCTGACACATCCGCCGTACAGTCCCAATTTGGTCCCAAGTGTTTTCTACCTGTTCGGAAGGCTCAAATCAGACTTGCAAGGCATGCAGTTTGTGGACAATGACGCAGTCATCCAGACTGTTCGGGAGTGGATACGCCTTCAACCACGAGCCTTTTTTGTAAAGGGCATCAGGATGCTTCCAGAACGTTGGAAAAAATGTGTTGGCTCCATAGGGGAATATGTTGAAGACTGACATGTGCAAGTAAGAAGAAAGCAGTCTTCTGGGATTTGGCGCCGTGTATATGTGGTGTTAACCGACGTTTCNAGTAAGTGTTTGGCAATTATGTTTCCTTAAAAAAAAATCAGTCCCGGTCATATTTGAACCACCTTGTACACATGAAAGAGAACTTACGCAAAGATCTGGGAGAAATCTGTCCACAAACACCCTTAATGAATTGTGCCTATAAAATCTTGCAGTTCTAAACTTAATAAAATATGGTGGACCACAGGGCCAGTCTTGACAGAACACAACATTACATGAAAATGGTGCTCCCAGATGAGAAGCTTTGAGAGATTCAGGCCCAGTTATTGATTAGCCCTCAGAAATCTCTAAGGCAGTTGTCATAAGAGGCAGATGTGTCTGCTGCTAAGGCAACTAAATTGAAGAAGTTTTATTTATACAGAATGAGAGTTGTGCATGGGCTTAAACCTACAGATGTTCCACAAAGGATTCAATTTTGTAATTGGATGTTGAAAAATGTGCACAATGGACTCGCAGATCCAGAACTGAGCTTCATAACTGATGAAGTATACTTCTGCTTAAGCAGTTATGTAAATGCTCAGAAGGCTGCTTTCAACAGGACAATGCTATTGCACATACTGATGTAATTAGTGAGTGATTTACAAGAGATGTTCAATGACAGAATCATCAGTACAGGGCTGTGGCCTTTGAGATCAGTAGACCATAATGTTCTTTACTTCATGGGAGAACAAAAGGAAAAACATAAAGGAACACACCTTGCACTGCTGCAGCTCTCCAAAAGAAGATATGAGATACAACTAATTCCGTTTTATCTGATGACCTTCAGTGTGCTTTGCAGGGATTCCATCAAATATGTGAGACATTTTTAAGAGTCGAGGATAACAACTTTTATAATTTTCTGTAACATCTGGTAAGTTTCCCCCATCTTTGCTTCTTGTGTCCTTTGAAAACAAAGTCTGAAGTCACAGAATGAGGGTGGGTAATTCATTAGCGGCTCTGATCCCAGTTTCACAATTATCTTTTCTACTATTGAGGGTAAGGCCAAATAAATACATGGCTAGCTGCAATGTTACAGTTTCCTCTTTTTTTGAGTGCTCTGTAGTATCAGGAAGTATAATCAATGCAGTAGGATGAAAATGGAGGTGATTTTTAAAAATCAGGAAGTGTACTCAGTGCAGTAGAATGGAGGTGATTTAAGTTAGCTTGACCTTCAAGTGAAAGGGGCAGCCACCCTAAATGCTGTAACTGCTAAATACTCACTTACTGGTCAGCAACCAGTTGGTGGAACTTCCTATAACTTTATGGAACTGTTCTTTGAATATTTTTTTAAGTATAAATTTCCTACTGTATATATTTTTGTCAACTTACATTCAGTTCCAATACGACACCAAGGCAATCAGTAGACATAGATATGAGGTACGTAGTTACAACAATGAAGATTGTTATTCCAACATGACGAAATGTTCTCCAGTTGTCCTCAGGTGATGTCTGATGTGAAAAGAAACTATTCTCTATGACTTCACGAGACACAAAGCACTCTATGGGAAATGTGAGCAAGATTGTAATACTGAAGATGATACGTGATACATTCATTAGATCATCATGCCAGCAGTAGTTTTCCAGAAGATCACCTGTGGAGTACACAGAATAGAGACAATACTCCCATGAGACGTCTTTAAACATATTACTGTGTACATTCAGTATCAACATTTTGTGTTTTATGAGGAGAAATTATGAGACATTACTACATTGATAGGTTTTAAAGTTGAAAAGAAACTGAATGTCTCTGTTTCTTGTTCTGTATCAAAGTGATTTTAAATGCATCTCTGTTCATTTCCCTGCAGTTTAAATTATATCATACAGAAATTCTGTCCATTATTTATGTGACATATTAATCAAAACTGAAATATGTTGAGAAATTGTAGTAAAACTCCTCAATATTAAATGCCATGAAAATTAATTTAGCAGGTCTCAACTTGTTATTTGTGGACAGAAAGACACACAGTGAAGCTAATAGGCAAATTTTTGCAGCTGTTCATTGTGATCATAAAAAAAAATAAAATAAAATAAAACTGAAGACAAAGTTTAAATTGTGTAATTTAACCTTTAAAGGATCATGATCAATTATATTTTAAGTATATGATTATATTTGTGTATATATATATGTGTACATATATATATATTGTGATGTGTTGAGCTATGGATGNTGCTGTTTTCTGCATTGTCCGGAATGAGGCTAGATACGGAGCAGCGAAGACTATTCACGGTTAGTTCCGAGTTAGTTCCGAGCAAGCCTACGAGTCAGAGTGTGTGAACAAGTTAATTCTTAAGTTCTTGAGTTCCGAGTTAGTTCCGAGTTAGCCAGCAACCAGTCAGTTGTATTCTGGCATTTGGAGTGTAGTATTTGTGATACTGCCGATGGCAGTAACTGTCAGATTGTAATTTGGGTGATTGTAAGTGCGAATGTGAAATAAAATTCGCTATATCAAATACGGCGTGAAGTTATTTGTCGCGTTATACACTCAACATGTGACAATTTGGTGTCAGAAGTGGGATTTGGACTTACACACGTGACCAACGAGATTCGAACTCAAAACACGCGACAATATATATAGTTCCATAAATTTAGGCAGGAGAGAGCTTCATTTATTTATTGTCAAGCACAAGAGACTGCCAATCTTCATGTGTATTCCAAGGAATGTTGTTGATTAGTGTAACATCTCTTTCAATTTGTTCCCTTTTGCTTAATTAACTCAAAATACTTAAGGAAAAATTGTTTGGGACATAGAATGTGTTTAATTTTTCTCTGTAACTTTTGTTAGAAACATGGATGGGTGCAGAAATGCATGTGTTTTCCATGTAAAATGACAGATATTTTTGTCCAGCTCTTAACAAAATTTGGAGTATATTAACATATTGTAGTAGAAATACCAGTATCAAATTTAATGAAAATCCATTTATCCATTCTCTTGTTTCCTGAATACATATGGTGGACAGATGAAACAGTTTGATAGGCTCACTGCAAGGATGCAAGTGTGTCTAAGAATAATGAATTCCTTATAGTCATTTTCCATGGCACTACTGACATTTGTAGCTTAGATGAATCTTAACAAACTGTGAACATAAAGTACTTGGGTAATACAAATCAAGTAGTCCTAGATCAAAGGTTCTCTGATATATTCAAGGATAACTCAATCTGTATCCTAGAGACTTCAGAAACAGCTAAGTAGCTATTACCTTGAAGGCCACAGTCAGTATTAAGGACTTAATTACTCACAGTTCCTTACCTACTGATATGACACTCTTAGTAATGAATTATAGAATATGATCAATATTGCAATATTGTCATAAAGACGTATGGAGGAGTGGATGTATAGATCCATGTATTCTTGACCTCAGCACAAGTTAGAGGTGAGTGCTCAGCTTCATGCTCCAGCCACTTAACCCCCAGTGACCATTGGATTGGAGGCTTTCTGAACCCCAGAACCAGTCTGGATGAGATGGAGAGAAGAAAATTCTTGTCCCTACTGGGATTTGAACCCCAACTCCTCGGCCATCAAACCCACAGCCAGTTGTTCTAGCAACTGCACTATCCTGGATCATCAGTACTGCATATAGAACAGCAAAATGAACCTTGTGTATTTCCAGTAAATGTTGCATATCCTGCCATTCCAAATAGGGCTGACAACACCAGGGATATGAGGATGGAAGCATGAGTCACAGTGTTCCACCGATGTTGATCTACATCCTGAATTGAATCATACAGGAGGAATGTGTTGTGATGACACATAAATGCTGAAAAAAAAAAAGAGTACATTTCAGATACTTATACAGTTATGAAGTAAAGGTCAAATTATCCATGTGGCTAAGCACCACACCATAAAGGTATATAGATGAGATGAAGGTAAAGGTCCAAACATTCTTAACCTTGGTAGGAGGTCGAGGTGAATGGTCACTTCACTTGGTAAAGGGGAAAGCTTAAGTTCAATTTGAGTAGGAGGCTAGTTAGGACCTAGAATCACTGTAGATGTGCTGAGGAGAAAATTACTTATGCTCTTTCTGAGAATTGAAAAGTAGTTCAGTTATTTCAGTGGCTAAGCTGCCATAGATTACTTAGTGAAGCCAGTATAACTCATCATATTACAGCATCAATCCTAGTTGCAATGGTTTCTATATAAGAATGTGATAATTTCTCTCTTAACTTTTCGATGTTGTACTATCCCCCCTTTCTATACAAGTAGAGTAGTGATTAGGTTGTCGGAAAAAAATTATGAATAGTATGTTAAAGTCACATATTCAAGCATCTAGTAGAATGATTTTCAAGTTACAGAAAAGTATTCTTATTTTGTAAATGAAACTTTTGAAAATTTTCATATCTCATTGTCCTTAATATTCATTTACTGCAGATTCAAATTTGTTATAAATACAAACCTATTATTCCAAACATAATCATATCACAGACACCATACCATGTAGAGTGATAAATTACTTTCCCTTGTATTTAATGAAATATATACCATACAGAAGAAATTCAGATAGAAAATGTAAATCTTCATGAGGGCTCATATACCAGGTATAGTTTATCTCATGTGTCATTGTTTTATATGGTGAGTAATTTTTGAAGGAAATTAATTAAATAGGTATGATTTTGCTTCTTATAAATCACATGTTGGTATTTGACTAATATGAACTTGAATTACACTTCCTGCCAATCTTTATTTTAGGCTGTCCTACCACATAACAAATTTCATCAGAATTCTTCCAGTGTTGATGATGATAAGGATAAACAGATGGACAGACAAAAAATCTGGTTCTGTGGTAATTTTATGTACTTTCTGTGGCACTGGCATGAATAATGTATACAAAGACACATGGCCAAATAAACTTCAGCTACAACAACTTCAGGCTTGAATGATTTGCATGTGAGTACTATGGTGTCAATGGGTTTGGATTGTACTGAATGCCAGTTGACTGAGTGAATGGTTTTCTGTTTTGCTGTAGGTCAGCTCCTGTCCCACAAGGTGTCTAATAAGTCCACTTCCCAACTATATGAACACCTATGCATAATCGACGCTATGTGATATCACCCCCAGAACAGAGTGCTGAACTTGTCCCTCACTGCATGCACAACCTTTCAAAATTTGTGAAGTTTGTAACATTACAATAACACTCACATCAAAATGCGAAAGTAATTCTCGTGTATTGAAGATTCTTACAAGAAATAATAAATGTATGCAGAAATTTTGTATCTAAGAAATATGGCACTGCCACCATAAACATTTTTTATATTTATGCAAGAAGCAGTGCAGTTTCAAAAAATTTTGCATAGAGCATGAAGACTTGAAGTCACCTTCAAAATTGGCATTGACAAAAATTAATTCAAAACTAATTTTTCATCTCTACAAACATGGTCTTCTACTGCCTCCATAGATTTTTGACCCTGTTTGTGCAGCCAACTTCTGTGCCATACCTCTTGTCTTCATTCAGTGTCAGCCTTAGCAATGTCATCTCTGCTCAGACTCTGTAAGTGCCTCATTGAGTGTCCACGGGTACATGACAGGGTATCCAGTTGTTACTGAGGTTCTATGCTTGGTGTCCCATTCCCAAAGACCAGAAAAAATTGTAATCTTTTCTGTGTACCTGGCCATACAGGTCCATCCACTAATCAGCTGCTAGGAGAGCCAGTCTCCTCAGAAATTTACATCAGAGCAAGCTCTAAACAGCAATGTTTGTGCCCTGTTCTTTGTACTGTTTTATTTCTGTAGCAAGATTAGTGAATCTATACACAGGTTAAAAAATTATGAGCTGTGAAACCATCCACAAAGATGGAACAGTTCTCCTTTGGCTTTATCAGAAGGGAGGAGATCATACTCACCTAAAACATGAGCATTTGGTACATATAGAGCTAGCACCTGTTTGTACATCCTGTGTTACATCGTATATCCCGTACTGTTCTACATAGAAACATTATGATTAAATGCCAGTTTTATTCTGAAAAATGCTGTACTTTCTATTTTCATGGCACATTGTGCAACATCTTTAGAGATGGCTGCTGTAGCTTGTCTAACATTTTGGCATTTGTTAGTGGTATAGAGCTTGCCAAGTGTATTTTAGTGGCACTGCCAGTGATAAAGCATTCCAAGTGGAAAACTGACCATTCGCCTCTAACTAGTGCCAAAGTTAACAATATATGTTCTTTTACCTCCACTTCCCCTCCATTCAATGCCATAGTGTTTAGGCACAGGGAAAACTATCATTATCATTCACCTCCATGTACTTCATCAAGAAGTATCTCTATATATTGTCACGTGTATGAGTGACTATAGATGGGCTTTGGATTGGTAATTGAATTTACCGAACTCTTACAGAATGTGACTATAAGTAATTATAGCAGTGTCACTAATTCACAGATACTACAATTCATTGCGGCATGCACTAAGTCTTTTCAGTATGCTGTGTCTTCACCAGTCATTGTCTGGAAATGGCTTCCAATGCCATAGCTTCCTTATCTCCCATGTTCACACCCTTACTGGCTGGCAACTGTCTCCCAGCTAACTGTCGGCTCTCAACTCAACTTGGCTCCACTCCACTGTACTCAACTACACTGCACTGTACTTACTAACTGAACTGAACTAAGGCAGCTGAGTCATATAGCCTCTGAGTGAGCCCACAGAGAACACCACTTGCAACATCTCTTCTACTGTTGCGTGACATCACTGTGGACATGACACATTCCTCTGTTGCGTGTGTACAGGCCTTTACCTAGCAACAGGTATACATGCTACATTGCTCCATCCTTAAGGCTATTCGTCCCAAATAGCTTACAGGCATACCAACATTTCTTCTTTCCTGAGGGCTGTGCTTGTGACATCTGTGATTGACCTTGCCTTCCTTCCTCATGGGGATTACTCTCCAACTGCTCCCTCCTTAATGCCGCTTATCTCAAGCAGTTCCCTGATAAGATGTGAGCTGGTTCAGGTGTACCACCATCAACCTCAATCTGGTCGTGCTTTTGACGTCTCCGCTTTCATTTCAGAGGGGGCTGACTCCTCCATGATATCCTGACAGTCATTTTTTTTTTAATATTGATTGAAATTCCCACTGCTCACTTCATGACCTCCAATTCGTGAGATTGTCCGAGGGCCTCATATAAGGTCTTCTTGCTTCCCAGATGTAGCTTCTGTCTCAGGCCTTGGTCCCTTATGCCATTGTTGCCTTTAGGTCATGCCCAACATCTCTTCATGAATATCCGTCCTTTTGGGGTTCCATGTACAACAACATCCATGCCTGATCCCTGATGACCATATCCCTCGTGCAGTGCAGGAACTTCCCAGCAGGTCAGTCCTTGGTCAGTGGCCAACTTCTGCCAGGACCCAGCATTGCCCTGGGTCCGTTTCTTCAGCTGTTGGCAGCGTCCTATAGCTAGATGCCGATCCCCATATCAGTCCTCCAGTGCTTTGATAGTTTCCACTGCAGCCTCTCCTTTAGGGACTTACTGCTGCCCCTCTGTGGCCTCTTTTTCTTCACAATTTGCCTCATCTTTTCTAGTCAGGCATCCAACATGGCCTTCATCATTTTGGAGGCGAGGGAACCCACCTGGGCTCTCATCTCCTCCTGTCCATCCATCTTTGCTTTTATTTCTCGGTAACAGGCTTCCACAATTTCTTGGTTTGAATCCATCTTTTTCACGTATGGTTTTTATTTCAGCCCCCGTTTTGGCTTCCATCCTTTCTAGATTGGCATATGTTCTTTCTCATATGGCATTCATTTTAGCCAGCAGGTGTCCTAGTATTCATTCCATCTTCATAGTGTGGTGATATAACTACATAGTACAATCTTCAATCCAATTCCAGTTCTGACACCAGTCGTCATGTGTATGAATGACTGTAGATGGGGTTTGGATTTGTAATTGGATTTATTGAACTCCTACAGAACATAAATTCAGCAAGTAACTATAGAACTATGGCTAATTCACAAACTCTACATTTCACTACAGCATGCACTAAGTCTTTTCAGTGTGTTGTGTCTTCACAAGTCATTGTCTGTAATGGCTTCCTCAGCTCCCATGTTCACACCCTTACTGGTCAAGTTCTGCCTCTAAACTGTTAACTCTCAGTTTGACTCCACTCCACTCCACTAACTCATTCAGTCTTCTATATTCAACTGCACTGCTCTTACAACCAGAGATTAATTTTTAACTGAACCCTTGAGGTCATAATCCTTTCAGTTGGTCGAGTCATATAGCCTCGGAGTGGGCCCACAGAGAACATCGGTTGCAATGTCTCTTCTATTGTTGCGTTACACCGCCCTGGATGTGGCGTGTTCCTCTGTTGTATGTGTATGGACCATTACATAGCAACGGCTCTACATGCAACAATATTTATAGAAAATGGTTGAATTGTTCATAGGAAGGACAAACTCACAATTATGGTCAGCTAGTAGCTTCTTTATATACTTTTGAGTGGTCTTACCAAAGGCCATAATTCCAATAGCTGGAACAATCCCCCAGTTAGCAAATCTCCAAGAATCTTCTGTGTTTGGTCTGAAAAAGAAGTACTTTGTTAATATTTTCTATTCATGGCACACATAAATTTTCAGCATATCAAATACCATTTGGCATTGGAGTTAACATATTCTGATATGAACAGACTAGGAAAATACTATTGACAATTTTTTATGTGGCAGAATAATAATTTATTTCCATCTTTCTCTGCACCTGTAAGTACTGAACAAGATAGCATGAATATTTCTTAGCTTGAAAGTAGAAAACAAATAACCCACGAACATCTGTTTTTTCAAGTTCATATTCTGCCATATATAGAGCTTCTTTGAAGAGTTTCCTATTTTATGCATTTAGTTTTCTGAAGTGTACCCTCGTCATACCTCACAAATGGGACATGTCTCATACTTCTGCCACTAGTGGAATCCATGAAGTGTGTGTTAAGTCAGTTTTAGAAAATAATGGTCTTTTTCTAAAACTAGCTTACCATAACAAAAGATGAATAAAATATAACATTTTAATTATTTAATTCTACAATTGATTAATTTTATCCTAAAGTAAATTGTAAACTCTGACTATTAAAAATTAGTCCAAATATTTCGAGATTGTGTTTCATCAAAGCTTTTCATTAAGTATTAATACTGAGCACAGAGTGGGTGGTTTTACAGTAAATTTATACCACACTATAGTACAATTTTATTGTTTATTGTTTATTTATTGTTTATTGTTATTAAATAACCCTCACCATTCTGTACAGGGGCTTTAGCACCCATAGGATATAGAGCTCATAGGAGCTCTCCCATAGGAGATATATCATATTGTCAATTTATCATTTTCTCCCTTCTATATGTAATAATACAAATGCCGCCATGAATGCAACAATTTATTTGATTGTAGATCTTTGTCTTTTCTTCCTCTACACTACATGTTTCGGCCATAATTAGCCTTCATCAGGTGTATTTTTCACTATGTAGCTGTCACACTGCACACAGTCCAAAATCTAAAACATCAGCCTGTCAGTTTTGTTTTAAAATCTCGCCAACACATGCTCATCAATTTGATTTTTAGAATTCCAGTTTAAATTTTAAAATTTCTAAAATTTAAAGTTTTAAATACCAGGGACACCTGCTCTTGTCTACATGTGCTGCAGCGGCTATTTCTTGTTGATGGCCAATTACGTCCGAAACATGTAGTGTAGAGGAAGAAAAGACAAAGATCTACAACTAAATAAATTGTTGCATTCACGACGGCATTATTATTATTATATATAGGAGTGGATAGCGCAATAAGATGCTGAAATATAATATATTTTCTCCCTTATTCATAATTTCTGCATTTTATTGTCATCTAATCTCTTGAAGGTGAGAAGGATGTTAACAACAGTGATTCAGAAGTATTTTCCTCCTCTCTCAGAATGAGACACCAAGTTTCATGTTCTTGTTACAGTAATTGTATTATGGCTTACAGGTTTATGTAGTTATGTAGTCAGCAGCAGGACCAAGTTGACCTTTCAGCAGAAAGTTTGTATAATGTTGCCTTAGCAACAAAAGACATTCTGTGTTTATGACAGTGCCATACAGGCTTATTTGTGGTTCACAAACTGTTACTAGTCTAGACTAGTGAAGACAGCACCAGACGCTGCTAGAGGGAACAACACACAAGCAAGAGATTACAGATTGCAGACGTTGAAAAACAACGGGCTAACGAACAGGAAAAGAAGCTGCTGAAACAAACTTTCTGGAATAAACACTTAACCCTAAACAAGTGGACACCCTTTATGAGGTGGAATAGGATTCTACAAAAAAATTAATAGAAAACGTCGATGGATTATAAGTAATTATTTATGTTATTTTAAGTGGACTACAATGTGTGATTTTAGACTAGTGAAGACAGCACCAGACGCTGATAGAGGGAACAACACACAAGCAAGGATTACAGATTGCAGACGTTGCAAAACAACGGGCTAACGAACAAGAAAAGAAGCTGCTGAAACAAACTTTCTGGAATAAACACTTAACCCTAAACAAGTGGACACCCTTTATGAGGTGGAATAGGATTCTACAAAAAAATTAATAGAAAACGTCGATGGATTATAAGTAATTATTTATGTTATTTTAAGTGGACTACAATGTGTGATTTTAGACTAGTGAAGACAGCACCAGACGCTGATAGAGGGAACAACACACAAGCAAGGATTACAGATTGCAGACGTTGCAAAACAACGGGCTAACGAACAAGAAAAGAAGCTGCTGAAACAAACTTTCTGGAATAAACACTTAACCCTAAACAAGTGGACACCCTTTATGAGGTGGAATAGGATTCTACAAAAAAATTAATAGAAAACGTCGATGGATTATAAGTAATTATTTATGTTATTTTAAGTGGACTACAATGTGTGATTTTAGACTAGTGAAGACAGCACCAGACGCTGATAGAGGGAACAACACACAAGCAAGGATTACAGATTGCAGACGTTGCAAAACAACGGGCTAACGAACAAGAAAAGAAGCTGCTNCGCACTTCAGAACAGTGTAACAGTTGAACACAATAAAACAACTGAAGATGGCCATCTATGTCCAAAACATGTTGTGTTAGGTGTTAAATGGTGAATAAACAATTGTTGCATTATCGATGGACTGTGAATACATAGATGTTTGATTGCAGAATGGTATTAGGGAAACATCTGTGAAAGTGACCACATGGTTGATCAAAAAGTAGCTGGCGCTATAACACTGAAATAAAGCTTAAAGAAATGGGTGGGAAATGGATGGCATTAGTTCAGGATTGTATTCAGTGACAGGCTTTGGTACTAGCAGGTTGAGCCTTTATGTTTACTAGCAGAAATTTAGTTAAAAGTATTTTAGTGGACAGTATGACAACTGTTAATGATATCAGTGTGCTAGGGATTGATTTTAAGACAAATGAAAATGAATTCAATTTAACAGCATCATTTAAATACAACAGACTTATTTGCTTTCAGTCAGTTATGAGATAATCATGCATTTTTACTGTAATATTCATGCTTATGAATGTAACTTACATAGTACCATGGAGTGTTCCCAGACGTAGAAGTATTGCTATGAGGATGATAATTACAAAAACCAAGGACAGGAAAGACACTTTTGCCAACTTCGCTATATCCCTGTATAGACAGAGAGGAGCTGTGATAAGGATTGTGGCCAAAGCCACCACTACTTTCCGGTGAGAAAGTAAAGAGTCTGCACCAGCTCCAGCCAAACGCATCAGAACTTTTGTAAGGGTATCACCAACTGCAACATTGTAGCTTACCATAGCTGCAAACATAATACATTACATAGATCAGTGTGAGTGATACAAGTAACATTTTCCAGATAACTGGAAGCATAATAGGTCATCAGTATTGTTAAAGATGAAAACCCTTATCTTTATAAGTGACATCCTGAACCATTCCACCTCTTAGTACATAAATAAATAGTAGAAGTCCATCAGATCTGACTCATTTAATAGGAATGAGTAATAATCTTGCCTTTACATGTTCTGGCCTTTACTGGCCATCATCAGAAGTCATAGCCAACATTATACGTAAATTATTTTCTGTATGTTATCGCTGTGCATAGATCGTTACTATAGTATCATAAAAGCACATAACATTTACAAAAACTGTGAGCACAGTCTCGCTTTTAATTGTCAGACCTTGTATATTAATTATTAAGATCATCAAAATCAAGGAGAGTGAAACAGGCAATGTATGCATGGATAGGACAGGTGAAAAATGTACACTGTTTTTGTTGGAAATTCTGAAGAAAATACATCATTTTGAAAACCTAGGCATAGGTGGGAGGGTGAATAATATTAAAATGTATTGCAAATAAATAGTTTAGAAGGTATATACTGGATTCATGTGGAAAAAGATATGGACCACTGGTGGGCTCTTGTGGGCACAATGAACTCTTCATCTCCACAAAGGCTGGGAATTTCTTGGCTGAGTAACTGTTAGCTTCCGCACCATAGCTCAAGCGGTTAGTCGCTGGCTTCCCACCACGGTGGCCTGGGTTCGATCCCGGGTCTGGTCAAGTGGGATTTGTGGTGGACAAAGTGGCGCTGGGGCAGTTTTTCTCAGAGTACTTCAGTTTCCCCTGCCAATCTTCATTCCCCCAGTTGCTCCACAATCACCCTCACCTATCATCTGGGGATGGTACAATAGGCCAGAATTGGCTGCAGTACAAGTGACTTAGTCCCACCCCACTAACAATAAAAAAAAAGTAGTACTGATGGCGATCACAGTGGCCGTACGGTCTAAGGCATGAAATGTCTTTGCTCGCTCAATCACTAGGATTGTGGGTTCGAATCCCATTTGATGCCCTGACGTCTGTGCATTTATTCTATGTTTGTTCAGTCATATGTAGATAGCGGCCTTAGGACGTGTGGATTCCATGTCCAAGGAGTCCTACCAACTGAGCATAGAATTTACAAACTGAAAAAACTGTTAGCTTCTCAAGAATATCTGTGCTCCGCATATTTAGCTGTTAATTTAAAAAACATAAAACAATACTAAGAACATGGATTATATGGTTATAATTTGTCTTGCAGCTTATTCATGATTTTGATGGATTTTTTTTTTTAATTGGTTCTCATATATTAAGAGTTGCTCAGTGCTGCTGTTACAGCTGACTGAAGTGAACATCAAGATACAGTGGTCAACACTCTTGATGTATTTTAGATATCTCCAGTTCAAAACCCCACTACAAGACTAGGTGTCCCTGTGAATTTCATCAGTCCCTCCAACAAAATCCCTTGATGTAGGACATTACAGCTTCCTCTCAACTTAATATTGTAATGTGTCTGCTGTGTGACGTGACATGAATAAATTGTGTGGGTCTTCGGATCAGAATGAATTCTTTTATTGGACTTTTATTTTTACACTTACATATACACTTATTTACAATTTCAGCTTCACAGTTGCTGCTTCTGCTATAGTTGAAGCCAAAGTGAAGACTGACTACTACTGACGTCTTCGAAGGTCAAAAACAAACTGAACTCATCTCCTGTTGAAGTTGGAGTTTCATAACCTCGTCTCAGATGTTGTTATGCAACAAACCCTCTGTTGTCCTTTCATCTCTGGGGAAACACATTTGTTGTTTGGGCTGTTCCTATGCAACGGCCCACTGTCATTGCGTTTCCATGAAAGTATGCCTTCTGGATTCATGGCATATGATAATATGTATAATCATTTTGTCATTTTTCACACATAATTACCAATGAATGGGTAAATGAACTGAAGAAGAGAGAGAAGGATGAAACCAGGCTTCCCAAAAGCTGCTTCCATCAGACCCTGGTAGGAGAAAGCACCACTGAGATGTCCACTTCTTATCATGAGAACCAAGGAATAGTCTGTAGCCAGTGCAACAAGAATGAGAAGAAACAAGCCAATGCCAAACCCTGCTTGATGGAGTGCATATGGGATACCTGAAATGAAAAAAACTGTAATCATGTGTGTTGAAACATGCTGTTAAACAAGTCTCAAATTAAGAAGAGGTTGGCAACATTCCATCTTTCAGTTTTGTCAGGTGAATGAAATCAGGAATGCAGTATAAAATGTGAGAACCATAAAATAGTTTTGGAAAATTACCTTCTTTTTATCTCTGAAAATACTCAGAAGTGGCAAAGTATGACAACTGTCAACACTTCAGATAGCAATTCAAATCCAAAGTAAGAACAACCTGGTAAGATACATATCCAAATATTTCTCCTTCAACTAGCTGACTACAATGTTGAAACTACCAACTATTTCTTTAGAAGTAATAAATGCCGAACTTACCAATAATTCCACTCCCAATGATGGAATTAATGTAGTTAAAACTTGCCAGTGGTAGACTGCTGTATGGTTTGTGATCTTCTGACTGTACAGAAATATGACATTAAACATGAAATACTTTGAAGAAAGCAGTCTTCTGGGATTTGGCACCGTGTATATGTGGTGTTAACATATATACATATACACGGTGCCAAATCCCAGAAGACTGCTTTCTTCATAGTATTTCATGTTTAATGTCATATTTCTGTACAGNGCTCAAAGCATAGTTCACATTTCTGCTCCCAGAATGAGGCTTCCTTGAACATAAATACAGCCAATTAGTGTTATAATTCAGTACATGGAAACATCTGTTAATATTCACATTGGGATAGGCCATACATTTAATCGTACATATTATATGGTTGTGAATCTCCTCATACTGTGCAAGATAAAGTTTTACTTGACATTATTTTTGGAGTTTCTCCAAATTCAGCATCCAGAAAGAAGATGGATAACCTAAAAATCACAAACAAAAGCAAAATACTTCACCGGGATGAATATTCACATCACCAGTTGTACAAAGCACCCACTGTTTTCAGTACAAGGTATTCGAACTATATATGGTGTTTTAGAACGATTAAATAATGACTGGGGAAAATCTGACACAGCATGAAAACTGATAAAGTTTAACACACGCAGTCACAGGAGCAAGACACAACAAAGAGCACAATACACATGAATGTAGGAAGAGTGCTCCCACAGAGGAGGATTGGCGTGATTCGCGTATTGAGATACGATGTAAGGATGACAAATCCTGAAAAGTTTTAATATTTAAAATCTATTATTATATATGACGAATATATATTTTAGTCATTTTAGTATGAAAACATCAGGGCATGCAATGCAGTAGTTAGATGTGCATAGAGAAAACGCACCTGAAGATGGCACATTAGTGCTGAAATATGTAGTGCAAAAGAGAAGAGTAAGGTGAAAAAGTGTGTACACTGTAAGACGGTTAGCATAAATCATGGACTGATAAAGTTTTCCTGTAAATTTAAGTTTTAAGAAGAGGGACTGTGTAAAGATCACTCATCTTCTATTAACGTAAAATGCAGTAAATGGCAGATGTTAAGATTATTAAAGTGTTTAAAGTTGCATGGGTAATGTAAAGGTGTACAGCAGGACATTTCCTGTAATGGACACTAAATAGAGCTAACTTTGTAACATGCAGTATATAGTATATGTTATGACTAGGGTCCTGATTTTGATGACATGTCGTCTTTTTTTCCTTGTATCCTATGCGATGCTCTTAAATATATAAATCTCGGATATGAGCTGCTGGTTACAGAAATATAAATTTTATAGGTATTTTTTTTGTCATTTTTAGGTTTAAGGTCATTTTTTCATTTTGGGGACAATTTTTTGGACTTTTAAGGGTATTTCTTGTAATTTTTGGCCATTTTAGGGATTTTTCCTTCATATGTTTTTTGAAATGTGAATAACATGGCAGCGAAGTGTTCTTTCTCTTTCTCCTTTAGGTCATTTTTCTGTATTTTTTCGGTCATTTTATAGGTCATTTTTTTTTAATATTTTCAGGTCATCAAAATCCGGGCCCTGGTTATGACATTTTAGCTTATCTTGTTACATGATACAGTGTTAAATGTCCCATTTCTACCATCATATTCACTGCAATTAATCCTGACATAGAATCACAATCTAGGGAGAAGGAGGGAGGGAGAGAGAGACAGACCAATGGTGTTAACCCAGTACATTCCTTAATGATGGAGACAGAAAAAGTCTCCAAAAGATGGACTTTACCTCTACATTGACATGGCTTGTTATCAGAGAGAATTTTATTTGTAAGAATTGTATTGTTATACACTTGCCCACTCATTACAGGCAGTTTAACAGATACATATGTCAAATTCATGTTTAACCTCTCTGACTGCATTAAGAACTCAACAAAAGAAATATCTCCTTCTTGTAATTTAAATTGATCCACTGTTGGAAAATCTGTATACTTGTATGAAACATACTGTGAATGGGCAAACAGATTTTGTTACATGGCTTGTAGATAAGTGTAAGCTCTATTTATGGACTCACGGTTTCAGTTTTTGTTAATAAGTACATACTAATTTAAGGGTTCTTTAACATTTAGGTAGTCAAATCGCTGGAGTTCAGAGGACAAGCCTAAAAGGAAACCGTTTGTAACAGTGTTTTGTTCTACCTCATCAAATACTTGAAATACTATACTAAAATTGCGTCTTGACTCCAATCTGTGAAACTTTCATAGGATTTATATTATATTCATTACTTTGTAATCTTAATGACTGTTATACTGTGTAAGAATCATCTTAAAACCCCGCCCCCTCCCCCCCACAGCTTATGGCAAATAACAGTTAACCTGATGATAAATGTACAAATAGTCTAATGATGTCCAATGGGCCAGAACATGTTGCGATAGTAAATAATGCTACTCGCCCACTCATGAAGCTGAGCCCTCCTTGAGAAGCCACCAACTATGCAGCTACTCAAGAACTTCCTTGCATTTTATG